AGGAACACGATTTAAATGTGACCCCATCTATTTCGTCTGCCCCTCTTCAGCCATAGATCTAAGTTCCGCCGATTACTCGTATCGCATTTCGCTCCTATTTCAGCTACTATATTTATTGGTACTCTCCGTGTTCTGGCTCGCATCCTCGTCAATTTCTGCACCCTCCCTCTCTCTCCCGCCTCACTTCGTTGCCGCAGCTGGCTTTCTGGCTCTCCTCCCGCTTCTTCGATATTCACACGCGGATTACTTGGCGCTCGATTGTAAACCTTACGTTCAGCCCACACCTGAACGGTCGATTTTCACGTCGACCCCTCTTGTCCCTCGGGCGGATATTTTGAAAAGGCAAGCTGCTACAACAAAGGCCACTGAATTTCTAAGTCATTAAACCGATCTTTCAAGGCCACCAGGGGTTTCCAAATTCGCCGGTTCTGCGTGTGCCTGCCGTATGCGACCCTACGACGCGTGTGGCTCCGCGCGCTCGAATGAGCGATTTGAATGCTCAAATTGAAAAGCTTCGAGCTGAGCGGGATATTGTGGAGAGGCTGCTTGCACATCCAGTCTAAACCCTACCTAACGAAATCATCTCCGAAATTTTCCTCAATTTCCTCTCCGTCTACCCCGAACCCCTTCCGCTGACAGGCCTCTTGTCGCCCTCGTTTTGGGGCAGATTTGTCGTGAATGGCGAGAAATCGCGTTCTCCACTCCCGCACTCTGGCGGGCAATCGTTTTCGTTTTCGTTTTCGTCGACGATGAAGATTTCCCAGAACAGCTTCATACGTTGAAAACTTGGCTCCGGCGATCCGCGAGCTGACTTCTTTCCGTTACCCTCGCGCACATGGACCCCGGGGACTGGGACTGGGTGGACCCTGGCCTGATCAACCTCCTCGGTGCAATCCTTCCTCATTGCGCACGATGGGAGGTCATGAAAATAATCCTTCCCGTCACATACCTTCGTTAGATCGATCGTCTCATGCCGATGCTACGCCAGTCGACATTTGGGCCAACCTTTCACATCGAGGAATGCGCCCCGGGAATGTCGAATATAGTATCCTTAGGCCGTTCGGTAACGCCTCGACACTGGACACGGTCACTCTTACGAGCTGTTTTTCTCCGAACACACTGCACCTCTACAACACGCGAGGTACGAGCGAAAATTGTTGTAGCGTCTGTTTATAAGAGACTACTGCACCTCCCTTGGTCTCAGATCACCTCTGTCACCGCGCACCTCCTTTTCGAATACGAAGCCAATACGATTCCCCGGTGCGCGCCGGCCCTCGTTTATTTCGAGGCGACGCTCCATTGCTGCGATGCCTCGTGGGGGGAGGAAGTCCTATCTATCCTGAGTTTGGAGTCCCTCATTCTCCGTGGTAGGGGCAGCCCTCAGGACTGCGAGCACAAGCAGATGCTGGAGCGCTTTACCCTTCCTTCCCTTCGAACATTCCACATATGCGAGCCATGGCTCGGCGTTGCTGCCTGGTCATCTTGAGCCTTGAGGAAGTTTGGCCCCAGAGGCTGTGTCTGCTCACTGCACTCAACGAGGTCGGGACAAAGGTCGGAGGCAGACTAGACGTTCGCGAGCGAGTAACGAGCTACTTGAATATTCGACCACCTGGAATCAAATTACTTACCTTGGCCGAAACGCCGTGTCTAGATCCAGGGACTGGGGAAGGCTGCCGAAGCAACTCCCGTAATATTCTCGCGAAAATCCAATCCGTATCTCGTGCTTTGTGGTTCCGCTAGATCTGCGGCATCTCGATTTTGATTATGTAACATAGAATTCCTGGGCCCGGCGGGTGCTCGAATTTTGACTCAAACCTGTTCGAACGTTGTCAACCAAATAAAAAAAAGAAATTGACACGGCGCGGGTCTTAGTGGTGCAATTTCCCCGCCCCATACAGACGCGGATCAACCAGCACAGCGTCAGGTTTCTGTTCCCTGCTCTTCCCGTCTTTGCCCCTGCCCGACCCTTCTTGCACTCGCGATCCCTGAATTCCTTTCGACCAACGCTGCAACTTGGGCTGGACAACCATGGCAAGGTGCTGCGTGGTGTCCGACCTCGAAACCTTCAAACTTTTCGCCTCAGCTTTACCTCACTTCGCTCTTTCCTTGCCGCTGGTAACGATTATCAGAACTCGCGTTCCGCTTGCGGCTGTGCATACCCGCCAACGCGACTCGTGGACCGCTCAGCATCGCGGGACGCTCCGCCCTCCCATTCATTCGCTGTCACTCCCGCGTTTTGTTCGGCAATCACATTCCCCGTATATAAACCGGTGGTTCCTGGGGCGTCTGTCTAAAGTCGCGGTTTCCACTCGACCTTTGCTCCCTCCGCTCTTTCATCATGGCCCCGAAGTACCTGTGCTGCCTACCTCTCAGATTCGGGGCGAGTTTTGTTGAAACTCACCCACCGCCGTGTCTAACACTCCGTCGTTAATTCAAGGTTTTAGTCCTGTCGTTCCTCCAGTTTGCTGCGAGCGCGTTTGCCGCGGTTATCCTTGCCATAGCGCTTGTTCTCGATGCAGAACGTCCGTATTGTCGTCCGCCCTCTTCGGCTTATTCATATCTTCATCATAGACAAGACCGGAACCACGAGGATTCCAACCGGGACGAGAGTGGTCGCAATCATCACGGTGGTAGTTCAAGCAACCATTGCTATTATCTGCCTATTCGGGTTCGTGATTCTCCACCACACTAAGCTTTCATTTCCTCAAGGAAGCGGCCAGGTTTATTGGAGCCATCCGGAAGAAGGAATCATTCGTCTCAATCTTCGCCACCCTCCTTAAATTCTCCTTGGTTGTTCACGTTACAGCCGTGGTCGCCACCGTCATTCTCTACGCAGTCGACAAGGACGAATTCCGCAAACAGTGCATCGGAGCTTCCACGAACCAAAAGGTCATCGACGCCTGCACTGCGCCAAATTCACTCGACTTGTGGGTCGTGATCGTTGTCGCGACCGTCCCACTCATCTTCCAAGCCTGTTCGTTCCCTCCGTGTTGAACTGTTATTTTTTGGCTCACTGATCCAGATGGTGTATACATCGTCTCGTCATACGACAAGGCACTTCTCAACGAGTCCCATTCATCCCTGCACCCGATGCATCTCCACCGAGAGTCGTTCGAGATTGGCACGGCCTACGTGCCCGTTGGGGAAGAAAGCCACTCTCTTACCAGCCACCCTCAGGCGAGCTACCCCTACGCGGAGAAGTCTCACTCCTTCGGAGCAGACCATGTTTGATTCGTTCAGGTCATATATTAGCTATGGTAAATATTGTTATTTAATACATTTTTGCGCCACTATATACGGCCAATGTAGATGCGTGTCATAATGAAGCCAGTGTTCCGAGGCGTTCCGTTGAGAGAGCTACTCGGCCTTGCGTGGATAGGTTCTTGGAACTGTGGTCTGGCCCGTGAGTGGGGCATCCGTGAAAGATGTCCGATGGGTCCTGCTATAATCTAGTGTGTATGCGTACGACCTAGTCAAAACGAAAGAAAACCAAATTCCAAGTGCATGACCTACTCCCCGACTCGAATGAGGAACTTCCACATCCAATGACCGTCCACCTACAATACTTGGAGCAAGGACATGGCCATTAGGTCTTCCTAGCAGTGTTTCACACCAGGGCAAAGCCGGACACCTGAAAGACAGGTGCTTGACAAGAGTACTCTGCATGTGTCTGCAGCTCCTTGCAGGACACCAAACACATCTTGAAAGGGTGATAATGAGCCTTAGCATGACCAAGGGTTCACAAAGAGAAGACAAAGGCAGGCACAATTTCGGGGTGGCAGGAAATCGTGCCTGCCCTTTGTCTTCTTTTTGTGAACCCTTTGTCGTGCAAAGAGTTCATTATCATTCTTTCAAGACATGTTTGGTGTCCTCAAAGGATTCACTGTTCACATGCGTCGAGACCTCTTGCCAAGGCACCTGTCTTTCAGGTGGGGTTGTCATCCTACACGAGGATCGAACGACTGCAGGAAGACGAAGAAACGGCACAACAATTCAACATGACCCTCGCCCCGGTTCCGGATTTTACACTACCACGATAATTCACCTGGAGTGACTAGTACAGCCAACAGCAAAAAAAACAGGAAAGAAAAACCTCCGCCAGTCACGACCTTTACGACCTAACCCCGGATCGAACAGAGAACTTCCGCATATGACAGTTTTGCACTGGTAACCTTATGGAGCACGGGCACGAAATCATTTCACCATTAGGTCTTGCATCCCTGCCATACCCCACTTTATAATTATGGACGACAGAATTGAATGCTGGAGTCTCACCACTCGCTCATCACAAAGTTGAACCAAATCTGGCAATTTGGAATTTGGTCAGGACCAGCGGCATAGTGCACACACACACTTGAAATCCACATTACAAAAATCCGTCTCGACTCCATCCACACACGCAGGTAGGAAAAAGCCGAGCTCCTAGCTATTACGACCTACCCCCGGATCGAGCAGGGGACTTCCGCAGACAAGTTCCAGTGACGAGAATTCAAGGCATAGGGCCGGAGACCAGCTGAAACAGGAGGGAGAAGAAAAAGTGTCTCCGTCACGCTCAAACCCAAGATTGAATGCGTCGGCGCAACTTTTCGAACCGCAGAGAAAATAAACTCGCAATGTGACCAGCCGACGTCTTGGAAAGAAAAAGAGCCAGAAAAAAAGTCCTCGTTGAATTACGACCTAACCCCGAATCGAACGGGGGACTTCCGCAGACCAATTCCTGCTTGAAGACGCGATCTCATTTCACCATTAGGTCTCCCCTACTTCATCCCCCATCATAGCCCCAAGAATCCGAGACCTTCGCTCAGCTAAATCGAATTTAAATCGGTCGGCCCAACTTTCCGAACCGAACCACAGCAAAACTGGATCCGGGAGAAATAGTCAACTTGCCATGCGACTTCAAATTCCAGTAGCGCATGCCACGGGCTTCGCATCTCAAGATTCGCTTTCACTTGAAGATCCAGCTGGTCTTGGAAAGAAATAAAAAATGTCTCCTCAGCTCACGACCCAACCCCGGATCGAACGGGGGACTTCCGCAGACAAATCAGGCACATAATATAAAACGCGGACGCGATACACTTCGCCATTGGGTCTGTCGGATACATCCTGATACCCTCCATATTTCTCTGAATCGAAATTGACTCGAGCGGATGATACCCATAAGGGCTCAGGAGCCTGAAAGAAAGGGACCTCACGATCACGATCACCCTACTCGACCTCTTGAACTTGACTTATTAGTATCATAGCTTGAAAGGCGTAAGGGAAATAATTATTTCCGCTTGCAACAAGTACTCGATTCCCATTATCCTGGCAATAATTCACACGGAGTCAAGCCGAACGCGACGCAAAAACCAACAACCTCCAATGCATGACCCAACCCCGGATCGAACGGGGGGCTTCCGCAGACCGTTCCTGCTTGATATGAAACGCGGACGCGATCTGATTTCACCATTAGGTCTCCCCATCCCTATTTCATCCTGCATCATAGCCCTAAGAATCCGAGACCTTCGCTGAACCAAATCGAATTAAATTGGTCGGCCCAACTTTCCGAACCACAGTAAAACTGGATCCGGGAGAGATAGTCAACTTGCCATCCGACTGTTCCAGTACCGCATGCTACGGGCTTCGTATCTCAAGATTTACCTGCAGATCCAGCCGGTCTTGGACAGAAAGAAAAAATATTTAGGCTCAATCCGGGTACGACCCAACCCCGAATCGAACGGGGGCCTTCCGCAGATAAAGATCTCCTAGAGATAAAACGCGGACGCGATACACTTCGCCATAAGGTCTCCCCATCCCTACTTCATCCCAATTATACATACGAGATTTAAGGGCCCAGGCGGGCGGGAGAGGAGAAGAGTTTTTAGTTTTTCGCGTTCACCGATCACCCACCTCGACCTCAGAAAATATTGAAATAACTTGAAAGGCGCAAAGGAAATATTATTTCCGGCTGCGAAAGGTCCTCGATCCTGATAACAACTCACCGAGCCTTCGAGTCGAACACGACGCAAAAAAACAACGGCCGTCTGACAAAGCATGACCCAACCCCGAATCGAACGGGGGACTTCCGCAAACCAGTACCTGCTCGATATGAAACGCGGACGCGATACACTTCGCTATAAGGTCGCCCCATCCCTACTTTATCCCGGATGATACAACGCGAGATTACTCAGGAGGGCGGGAAAAAGAAGAGTAATTTTAGTTTTTCGCGCTCACCGATCACCCACCTCGACCTCAGAAAATATTGAAATAGCTTGAAAGGCGCAAGGGAAATAATTATTTCTGGCTGCGACAGGTACTCGATCCTAGTACGTAACAATCACACAGAGTCGAGCCGAACGCGACGCAAAAAGAAACAACGCATGACCCAACCCCGAATCGAACAGGGAACTTCCGCAAGCATAGTGGTAGATGGTATGAAACGCGGGCGCGATCCATTCGCCATTAGGTCGTAAAAGACTTCGGCTCTTACTCATTTACTAGGTACTCCCCATATTCCTCGGACTTGCTTCGAATTCATTTTCCGAAGGCACGCAAATCACTATAGTACTCGTAGCTGTACACTATACACTATACACATAAAATACATACTATATACATACATACATCCCGCCACCTTCCACCTTCCGGTCGTAACATACACCATAACTAACCAACATTAGAGCAAATGCCCGGGATACAGGGGACGCAGAACGAAGGCGAAGCGGATACAAAAGGGGAACGAAGACGAAGAGACGAGAATGAAGGGGAAGGAACGAGCGACGAACGAACGAAGAGAGAAGAGAGGAAGAGCGGGGGAGAGTAGATAGCTAGATAGGTAGATAGCGATAGGTACACAAATTACAAATTACAAATAAGAACGAATCGAGGAGGGGGAAACGAGGAGGGACCCAAGAAAGCATCACCACGAAAGCACCACCACGAAAGCACCACCACGAAAACACGAAAGCGCCCGTGCGCAGAGGGAGGGAGAACGCCTACCCCCCATCCCGCTCCTCCTCATACGCATCCGCGTGCCGCCCGCCCTGGCCCTCCACCTCGTCCTCCGTCTCCGCATCCACGTCTCCGTCCCCGTCGTGCTCCCCTTCCTCGTCTTCTTCCTCCTCCTCCTCCTCCTCGCGCGCGTACCGGGCTCGCTCTTGTGAGTGGGGGTGAGATTGGGGGTGCGAGTGGGAGTGGGGTTGTGAGTGTGAGTGTGAGTGGGACTGCTGGGACTGCTGTGATTGCGAATGCGACTGCTGCTGCCCCTGCGAATGCGACTGCTGCGACTGCTGCACCTCCGCCTGCGAATACCCCCCGCCCGCAGCCCACGCCCCCGCCCCATGCTGCTGCGGCGCCGCGGGTGCGTAGTACCACGAATACGGCCCCGTCCCCGTCCCCGCCTGGGCGTAGTACTGCGGCGTACCCCCTGTCGCCGTCGAAGTCGCCGCACTCGAACTGGAAGCGGAAGTCAAAGGAACAGGCGCATACATCGCCGCCGCCGCCGCCGCGAGCGAGCTCGAGCCGTACTGCATCGCCTGCTGCTGCTGCTGGCCTTGCCCCTGCCCCTGCTGCCCGCCCTGATGCGTTGTCTGCGTCGTCTGCTGCGCCACCCCGACCCTGGCGCCCGCGCGGGCTCTTCCATCGTCTGCCCATGAACTGCCCCGGCAGCGCCATCGCGCCCATCATCTGCGCGACCGCCGTATGCGCGCCCGTGTGCTCGTGCCCCTGCCCCGGCGTGCCCGCCTGCGTCTGCGTCTGTGTGCGCGCAGACGGAGGACGCGCAGACGAGGCAGGCCGCGCGGGCTCCTCCATCCCCTGCCCCACAAACCGCGCCGGCAGCGCCATCCCCGGGTACGCGTTCAGCAGGGCGTCACCGCCGCGTGCTCCTGCCCCGCCGCGCCCGCCGTGTGCCCCTGCGGAGGACGCGCAGGCGCGCGCGTGCCCAGCGCGCGCGTGGACGCGGCCGCGCGCGGGGCGGTGAAGACTGATAGCGCGTGCGGGTGCGGGTGCGGGTGCGGGTGCGGTGGGAGTGCCCTTGCGATTGGGACGACCCCGAGGCGGTAGATGTAGACGCGAAGGACGACGACGCAGAAGACGGACCCGCACGCGCACGCTTGGCAGGCGCGTCCGCCTCCGCGCGCCGCGGGCGCTTCGTCCCGTGCGCGTTAGTCGTACTTGTATGTGTATTTGTCGCATTTATATGTATACTCGTTGCGGCGGCGGCGGTGCCGATCGTGGGCGAGGCGTCCGAGTGCGAGGCGGTCGAGGCCGTGTGCGTGTCGGCGTCCGTGTCGGGGGAGGGGGAGGAGGGGGCTGGGGGAGAAAGGGCGGTCAGCAAACGGTCACAACAGGGATAAAGGAGGGAGGAAAAGGCTAAAGGGGGGAGGAAGGAAGGAAGGAAGGCGGCGATGAAGGAACTGGGTAAAACCTCGCAAGGAGGGCGTGGGGACGATTTAAGGAAGGGGCGCGGGGGACGAAGAGGTACATGGCGCGGAGGGAGGGGGGACGGGGCGCTTGGAGCGCGGCAGGGGCAGCATGCGGGGGTGAGGAAGCGGAAGAAGGTCCGGGATAGGAAGGGAAAGGTAGAAGGAAGACGAGGGCGAGGCGGAGGCGAGGCGAGGCGGGGGGTGCGGAGCGTACGGCTTGTGGGGGAAGGACGGATTACGGGGACGGGGCGCGGGAGGGACGCGGCTCGGGGGGAGTGACGGAGAACGCATGAGGAGACGCAGGGGCGGGGAGCAAGGAGGAAGACGGGGACGGGGACGGGCGCGGGATACGATGCGCGGAGTCAGGAGGGGAGGAGATAGCATCGGGCGCAGGGGAAGAACGGGGCGGGGGGTGGAGGGTGGACGACGCAACGTGCGAGAGAGGAAGTGACGCGACGGGCGGAAAGGAAGGACGCGGGGCGGACGACGAGAAAAAAGGCGTGGAGAACGCGAACGAGGGAGCGGGTAGAGACGAGGCGGCGTGAAGTGCACGGGAGGAGGGCAGGAAGGACGGGGGGTAGACGACAAAAAAACGGCGGGGGTGGAGAGAAAATGGAGGGAGGATCGCAGATGCGGTGTGGAGATGACCGAAGGACGGAAAGGAAGGTGTGAAAAAGTCGCCGCACGCAAGATGCGAAAGAAAGTGCATGAAAAGAGCCCGCGCGCGTCAGGGAACGGGTGGGCCACAGACGCGCGGAATAGAAAGGAGCAGGCGGCTAGGATGTGGGGGATAGAGGAAGGAACGAAGGAATGGAGTGAAGCTGCGTCCGCGTCCGCGTCGAGGGAGGGGGGGATGGATGCGCCGCGACGCAGGGGTGGAAGTGTGTGTGCGTGCGGCCCAAGATACGTGATAAGGGAAGGGAGGGAAGGGACCGGGAAGGGGAGGAGGGCGAGCAGGAGACGTGCGACGCGCCGGAGCAGGAGGTACGCGGAGCGCGGGGGTGGGTGGAGCGGGTATGTGGATCGCGGAAGGGCGTGTATGTGGATGGCGGAAGGATCAAGGAGGTGGGCGCAGTGGGGGGAACAAGGACGGTCGAAGTCTGCGTACGTGCGCGCGTGTTCGGCCCAGGATACGGGAGGAAAAAGGGAGGGGAAGGGGAAGGGGAAGGGGAGAAGCGGGGGCGGACGGGGTGGAGGAGCGGGTATTCATCAGTGTCGAGGGAGGGGGGATGCGGATGCGCCGCGTGCGTTAGGCCCAGGATATGGGAAGGGAAGGGGAAGGAGCAAGGAGGGAGCAAGGACGACGGGGGGTGCGTGATGCGGGAGTGGAGTGCGGGGGTGGGAGCGGAGCTAAGGTGGAACATGTATGTGGATCGCGGAAGGATGAAGGAGGAAGGAGGAAGGAGGAAGGATGGAGGAAGGATGAAGGAGCCAGGACGGCGACGGGGGTGCGTGATGGAGCGTGCATGGGAAGGTATGCGGAGCGCGGGGGGTGGGAGTGTGCATGCGAGGACGAGTACACAAGTGAACGGGAAAGGAGGAACGCGCCGGAGGTAGGAAGTACGAAGTACGAAGGGAAGTGTTGCGTAGGACAAAGCACCAGGAGCAGGAGCAGGAACGGGGACGGGGTAGACGGAGAAGCGGGCGCGGGCGGGGAAGAGGGACGCGTGTGGGACGGGGATACGACGGAAGGACAGGGGCGCGGGGTAGGCATCGGGGGCAAGGTCAATGGAAGGGGGAGTGCGCGCGACGCAGGGGGGGCAGGTAGACAGCAGACGGGGATGGAGTGGAGTGGAGTGGAAGGACGAAAACAGAGGCGGACGAAAAGGAACGCGGGACGCGGCTGGCGCGAGGGAGGAGAACGGAGGGGGGCAGACGCGAGGGAAGAAGGCGGGAGGCGCGTACGAAAAGTAGATGAAAGGAAAGGGGGGAACGTACGCGGAAAGGAGGGATACAGAGTCCGCGCCCGCGTCCATAAGAGCGGCGGTGTGGCACGGATGTATGTGGGGGAGGAGGAGGGGGCGTGGGTACGGAGAGGTACGGGTGCGGGGACGGGGCGGAGGCACGGAGAGGCGGGGTATCGACGAGACGAGACGATGGGGCAAGGGGAGGAGAGAGCCGACGGGGAAGCGCGCGACGCCGGGGATAGACGAGGGGTGACAGGAAGAAGGGATGGAGTGCAGCGCGGACGGACGAAAACAGATGGCTGACGAGGCGAGGAACGCAGCTAACGCGGGGAAAGGAGGTGGCAAATGCGACACAAAAATAGGAAGAAAGGCAGGGAGGGAAAGAAAGGAAAGGAACGCTTACCCGAGAGGACCTCGCGGCCCAGCGAGGCGCCGTTCGCGTGTACGGTCGCGTGTCCGGTCCCATTCACATTCCCGTTCGTATGCCCACTCGCGCGCTCGCGCCGCCGCTTCCCCCCAACAGCCACGCCCCCCACACCCGCCCCTCCCATCCCCCCACCCGCCCCCACCCCTCCCACCCCCGCCCCCAGCCCCAGTTCCATCCCCGCCGCGACCACCTCGTCCGCCTCGCCGCGATACCTTGGCACGCCGTCCACGCCGACCTCCGTCTTCGGCGGGCAGCGGAAGTTGCCTCGTGCCAGGAGCGACGGCGCGATATCGAGGCTCGCGAGCTCGGGGAGCGACGACGGCGCGCGGAGGCGGCCGGACTCGACGTCGGCGATCTTGTAGTACGAGATGAGGTGGTGCGTCGCGTTGGCGATTGTTAGGGAGAAGGTCTGCGGGGGGTGAGTGAGCACGAGGATAGGAGGGGCAAGAGGGAGGGAAGGGACAAACCTTCTTCATGAGCCCGTCGGGCTTGAACTTGTAGCTGTTCGTGAGGCTGCCCACGAGCGTGCGCTCGCGCTGGCGGTCCACCCCCGCGCGCCCCTCCTTCCTTGGCCGGCTCAGACTCTCCCCCTTCTCGCGCGTCCTCCCCCCCACCTCCCCCTCCTGCCCTCCCCCTCCCCCTCGTCCCCCTCCTGCTCCCCGCGCCGCCGCCCATGCCCCGCCCCCCGCCGATCCGTCTCCCGATACAGCAGAAAGTTCCCTAGTATCCGGCTCGGGCTCCAGAAGCACCCGTCCGTCCAGCGCTTGATCCCGCTCTCGTCCTCGTCGAACACGAACACGCTGCCGCTCGCGATCATTCTGCGCTCGGCGTCGACGAGGCGGCGCGTGACGCGCGGGATGAGGCCGCGGCGCGCGGCCTCGAGGATGAGGAGCGCGTCGCCCGTCGTCTCGATCCAGCCGGACCAGGGCGGGGCGGGCGCAGGGGGCGCGCCGGGCGTGGGGGTGGGGTGCTGGTGGAGGTGGATGCGGACGCGGGCCCGGAGGCAGACCCGGACATCCCGCCGGGTGGGGACTGCTGCTATGGCGAGGGAGATAGAGTTTGCACCGCCTCGGGTGTAGTTGCCTTGATTTCTCTTGTCTCTTGTCTCGTCTCTTGATTCTCCTCTTCTCTTGTCTTGAATGTCTCTTGTCTCCTGTATCTAGTCCCCTCTGCGCTCCTCGTCGCGGACGTTGTAGCAAGTGTTGGTTGGTGACAGTGCAAGGTAGGCGTGCTTAGTCATCCCGCCGAGCGCTCCGCCCTAGGGCCTATCGCCGCAACCTCCGACCTCCGACGCTCGCTAAATTCAATTCAATCGACGCAATCTATCCATTCAGCTGCTGTCAATTCTTGCGTGCCTTGAGGCCTTGTCGCTGTTTGCTCGATAAAAATGCTATCTCTCTTGGCCTGCGCACGCCGCACGGGCGGATCTCACTCAGGCTCCAGCTTGACCTCAGTCGTGCAAATTGCAATGTCGATCTCCATTCTCCAATGCCGAATACCTTCAATACGCGACATCTCCAACTCGCCTCAAATTTTCATTCTACACAAATTCTGCATGGACCCTTGACCAACTCACTCAACGCTCGAATCGGCGGCTTGATAGGTAAATTCCCCTAAACACCCTACCCATCACGACCTAATGGCGAAATGGTATCGCGTCCGTACCCACTGATACCCGTCCAGTTTTGTAGTATGGAAATTCCCGGTTCGACCCCGGGTTAGGTCGTCGCCGATCCCAGAGATTTTTCTCACCGACCTCTTTTTTGCCACCTCTTAGCTCCCTTCTGTATGTCAACTCTGTCGAGCCCGCACTGTGCTAGACCGGTAACCGATCTGTCTACGAGAACAAAAGTGTCGGTAGACAGACCGGTCGATCTGGGTTTAAATTCCCATGACAAGCGGGCGACCACGTGTTGATGCCCTATCACAGTGCGCGCACCGTGCGAGTTCGATTCCCAAGTCGTGCAACCATTTTTAAAACATGTAATTGATGTTTGGGGGGATTATAAAGATTTCTACGTGATCGTAGATACATCTAATAACATCAGGTAAAGTATCGAAAGAGTTTCGTGGCATCTCTGTTGAATGGAAAAAAGGAGGACCCCGGATAATAGGTCTGAAGGCCTGATTTCAAAACGAGAAATTAGTCAGGATTTGTATGGCGAAATTCGTCAGGATTAGCACAGGCCTACCAAAATTTCGCGAAATCCGTCAGGAACCAGGAACAGGCCCAAAATCGCCCGAAAAACATCAGGAAAAGTCAAATAGGCCTCAAAACGGCTCAATTTCATCAGGAAATCATCCAAAATGCCAAAATTAGCTGCGCGAGCTGCCCCTGAGCTCTCGGAGATGCCTACAAACTACAGAGAACTAGTCGGATTCCTCCTCTTTCTCTTCAGTGTCCATTCTGCTGCCTTTTTTTTAGATTGCGACACTTTAATTGCTGCATTGAACTGCCCAGGGAAAGAGTGGTCCGAGAGACTGGGGCAGCTTTAGCAGCTCCGCAAGAGCCGTGTGCACTTCGGGAAGCACATCCGAAGCAGAGAATTTCTTGTTTTGCCAAATGTAACAGCCAGGATCGAACGTGGAGGATCGGCTGAGAGGTCTATAGACACCATGCGTGTCGTCGGAGCGCGCCGAGGGCGGGAGGCGGCAGGCGTCGTGCTTACGGCAATTGCACAGTGGAGGCTAAAAATATTACAGCTATTATACAGAAAAACAACTAAATTAAATCAGGTGGCAAGGCTCGAACGAGCGGCCTCGGAAGGCCATCAAACACGAAAATAAAATACCCGAAAGAGACACATACTTAACCATTACACCAAAGGATCTTCATCAGGATTCGACATCTGGGCTCTCTGGATCCTCCCAAATCCGTCAGGATTCTGAACCAGGCATTTTGAGCATTTTGGCCAAATTCATCAGGATTTGAAACACCCCTCGAGCCCAAAATCGCCCAAATTTGTCAGGATTTGCATCAGGCATTTTGGTCTATTATCCGGGGTCCTAAAAAAGGCCGCATGGACCGATAATCGAACCGAGTCGGAAATCGCCCGCTGATGCCCAGTGATGGGGCATCAAACATGACTTGCACATGAGAAGTGGCGGTGCCGCCGCTTGTCATCTGAATTCAAAGCCAGATCGACCGGTGTGTCTACCGACACTTGTGATCTTGTAGACAGAACGGTCACCGGTCTAGCACTGTGCGTCCTACAGCCAAATGGCAGCTACAGCCGGTAACTCTCATAGTTGTGAGGAAGTCCCCGGTTCGATCCC